TAATATAAGACAATATTAACTTCATTAATTCAAACTGGACCCAATTAAATACTCACTGTTACACTCAATAATTGTTCAGACACTGCATACATTCATAGAAAATGTACAATAGATGACGCATTTACAGATCTTCGTAGAAATAATAAGCACACAATCTTAGAACAAGTCATTTATAAAAACTACACTTATTCCCGGTTTACATTATTACAATCCAGGAATCGATAAAGCGCTGGAATGCTACTGCAATAATATTACAGCCCGACCACACTTTTACACACACACACGACACCGTCCTCGCCGGCGAAGACGACGACCTCAAACACACAATATCGCGCATTCAACCGGGCGCCTGCGCGCGCCCGGGTGCTCCACGCCGACGCCCCCTGGCGCCCCTCCGATCGATCTCCCGTCCAATTCAAACGGGGATCGAAATTACGACGGCCTGAGCCGAGGTTCGAACCCCTAGTGATGCCCTCAGACTAAAGTCGTATCCGTCAGGCAGGAGTTGGCCTTCAGCCGCTCCATAAGTCCTTCCACGGGTTTGGAGTGCCATCTGCACTCGCCCCTAACGTCCGGTGAAGCTGTAAAGGCCTGCTACGGCCAACAGCATTAGAGTAGTACGAAAAAAAAAATAGTTAAACCGGTTTTACACGAATAATTGTGGTAAATAAAGGTATTTTCTTTTACCTCTCTCGACGTTTCGACTAGGTTGCACTAGCCGTGGTCACGAGCTGACTGAAGTAACAGCGAATGTTAATGTTGATAAGAGCGAGGAATTTTCATTAGATTGTCTGAAGAAAAATCGCGATACGTTTAACGATATTTGTAACTAGCTTTTGCCCGCGGCTTCGCTCGCGTTAATTTATCCTCTTAGGGGTGGAATTCATCAAAATCCTTTCTTAGGGGATGCCTACGTCGTAGTAGCTTTATGCATGCAAAGTGTCGGTTTGAAATTGACAAAGTTTCATACAAAATTTCATCCCCTATTTTATACCCTTGGGGGTAGAATTAATCAAAATCCTTTCTTAGCGGATGCCTACATCATAACATCTACCTGCATGCCAAATTTCAGCCCGATCCGTCCAGTGGTTTGGTCTGTGCGTTGATAGATTACTGTAATTATATGCAATTATACAGAGCTGGTGTTGACTATTATACGAATATATAACTGGAATAATCTAGACGAAATCATCCAGTCCAATACTCTAGAACTACTGAAATGCTCTGGATTACAGGACTGGAATACTGTAGAGCAATCATATAGAGCTAGTGATGGTTGTTGTTGCGATTAAATAACTAGAATAATCAAGATCAAATCATCCAGTCCAATACTCTGGAATTACTGAAATGCTCTGGATTACTGCACTGGAATAATGTAAAGCAATGATACAGAGCAGATGTTGACTATTTTTGCGACTGGAATAATCTAGACGAAATCATCCAGTCCTATACTCTGGAATTACTGAAATGCTCTGGATTACTCGACTGGAATACTGTAAAGCAATCATACAGAGCTAGTGTTGGTTGTTTTTACGACTAAATTAATAGAATGATGCAGAAGTCCAGTCCAATATACTGGAATTACTGAAATGCTCTGGATTACTCGACTGGAATACTGTAAAGCAATCATACAGAGCTAGTGTTGGTTGTTTTTACGACTAAATTAATAGAATGATGCAGAAGTCCAGTCCAATATACTGGAATTACTGAAATGCTCTGGATTACACGTCTGGAATCCTGTGAAGCAATCATACAGAGCTAGTGTTGGTTGTTGTTGCGATTAAATAACTAGAATAATCAAGACGAAATCATCCAGTGTAATACTCTGGAATTACTGAAATGCTCTGGATTACTGGACTGGAATAATGTAAATCGGGAATTAATTCCAATAAATTTATGGTGCATTAACGTTATTATTAAAATTATATCACAAGCTAACGTACTTTTAAGTAATATGACTCAAGATTATTTTACATAGTATAATATTGTTTAGATGTATAATTAATTAACGTTATATTTACATTTTGTACATACCACAATTAGCTTCGTTTCATTATTTAATAGTTACTTTAATATTAATATCATAAATAACAATTTTACGTGTTGTAATTTTTTTTATTTATTTACAATACTAAAATAGTTACAAATAAATAAAACATAAATGTCACAATAATAGCTTTTCACTAAATACATATGAAAATATGTTTAAACAGTACATACATAAAAATAATTAAACAGCTCTAGAACGGCTACACTGATTTTGACGGGACTTTCAGTCGCAGATAACCAACGTTATAACTATTAACTTAGGGTACTTTTGTTTAAGGAATTTTGTATATTTTATAAAAAAGAAAATTAAAATCTACGCAGTCGCGGGTAATAGCTAGTGTGTAATATAATTGAATAGAATTACAGACACTAGACATTTACATAAAAAATATTAGGCTTCTTCATCATTATAAATCATCATCATTACATATACATTTGTCGAGACTTGATAACTAATAATCTGCATAAATGCATAGATACATAAATGGCACATGGCTCAGTATCGGGCGCTTTGTGTATTCAGTTCAAATTTAGTTCAGAGCTACGTTCATCAGGTATATAGTTTTAATCTGACGTTTGGTACAAATTTAGTCAGCTTTCAAATAAATTGTATATGACTATAGACTCTATCACAAAGACATAAGCTATAGTTTGTCTAAAAAAAAACATACGCACTTGCAGATAATTGCTTATAAACATATTATCATTACGATTGATAATACAGATGGAATAGGCAAAAGATATTGTCGACTTATATTTGGAGTGGGGCATTCTTATCATTTACAGGATCAAAAAATGATAACAAAACTATTCTCCAACTTACGGAATCTTATATATAAAATTCTCGTGTCACAGTTTTCGTTCCCATACTCCTCCGAAACGGCTTGACCGATTCTCATGACATTTTGTGAGCGTATTGAGTAGGTCTGAGAATCGGCCAACATCTATTTTTCATCCCCCTAAATGTTAGGGGTAGACAAACCCTAATTTTTTTTTAAGGCAAAACAACGTTTGCTGGGACAGCTAGTATACATATAAAATTCCATCAAAATCAGATAAGCCGTTTCGGAGAAGTATGGCAACTAACAGCTGCATTTAAAGAAAATGACACAACAATATGTAGATGTAGTTTTAATGTAATAAAATTAATATGTTGAAAGGAATTCAAGAAATTAATGGCATTAGGTATAATAATAAATATTAATTGATTCCAAAAGTAGACCAAAATGGAGGGAAGAAATTCTGCTGAAAAATTAATTATTTCATTAGTTTGTTAATCGTAAAAAAAATATATTATTGATGTTAAAAATAATTACTATTCATTACTTTGTATTATTTTGTTTAATTCCATTACAATTGGCATTTGTGAGTGCACAAATTAACCTAACCACATCCACCGGAAGCCCTAAGACAAGGGTCTTCAACCCGCGGCCCGCGAGCTGCTTGCGGCCTGCCATGTGTTTTCTGCGGCCCGCCAGCATAGGCCCACTCTCAATAACGACAACAATTAACTAAAAGTACCTTTAATGTAAAATAAAAAAAATCCTTATAAAACCTATGATGTAGCCCGCTATGCAGAAAAAATTTTTTTGGCCCTTGATTTGTCAAACGTTGAAGATCGCTACCCTAATTCCCCATTAGTGATCAAATTCCGCCAGTTATTGGATTTACACCTATATTGCCACAGGAATTTCGCCTCTAAACGAGGCAATATTAGGCAATTAATATAATTTGGATATAGTTTAGAAGCCTAGTGTTGACTATTCGGCGACTGGACTACGGCGGAATTAAACAAAATAAAACAAATCCATTAAGTAATAATACTCACTTCCGCAAAATAATACCTAATTCCATAAAATATAATTATTATTTCTTAACAATATACTATTATTATTCATAATAAAAATATACTTAACTTTATCAGATCAGAATGTATAGGCCTTATTTATTAGTCTTATTTACTAATATACCAAACTTATTTTAGCTGTTAGATTGTTTTATTCTTATCTCACAATATGTATTCTTGCAATGGCAAGAAAGTCACAAGACACTGTAGAGTTAAAATAACTTTTACTCTTCATGAACAAGATCTAAAATCTATAGATTGTTTTTACCCGACGATGAAGCAAAAAAGAGGGTTATGTTTTTGAGCAGTATGTATGTATACATATTATTATGTTCGTCTATTCCCTCAAACTTCGAAACTACTTATAAGAATTTTGTAAATCAGGTTTCGTTAGAAGTGTTTGATTATGTGCTGGTTAGGCTATGTGACGTCATATATGATTAAAAATGGCGCCCTCTGGAGAATAGAAAGTCATGGACTAAAAATGAAATCGTGTTTAATTATACCAGGTATCATAAGAGCGTAATTAGTTCATTTTAAATATATATACCTGTATACTGTCTGACTCAACTATACTCTTTTGTTATATAAATTAATATCACTAAATATAAATTAATATAAAAATAGGGGTAGATGATAGAAGTGTGAAAATTCAGGGTTGTATGTATTTTTCTAGTCCGAATCATAAAAATAGATTAAAAAAATTTTTTCACAACACTTAAAAATTTTTTTTTATCGTGGGCCACCTTCTCAGTTCAAGATATAAAAAACAGATAGCAACCTATTCTCAAAACTACCAAGTATACATATAAAATAAAAATCGGTTCAACCCTTTGTCTGCTCTTATCACTACGACTGATTTAATCTTATTGTATATTTATAAATATAAATATACAATAAGACCCAAAAAAATTAGTGCTGATTGGTAGTTTGTATTCACACGTTTCGACTTGTAAATGTAAACTTACAAGGATTAAAAGAGCAACACACAAAATTCTTGCTCATTCTTCTTGTGATGAGACAGCTTTCCGAACGAGCGGTAGATAAAGAAAATTGTTATGACTATTCAAAAGTGTTTAAGTTTATTTGATTTTCTATTCTATTCTATTCCTTTCGGAGAAGTATGGCAACCAACACCGTCACACGAGAATTTTATATACAGATATAGTTGTCTTTTGCCCTCAGTTTTGCTTAACTTTACAATAGTCGGGTTTTAGTTTTTGAACTTATTACTTTACAATACTTTTCCTTCTAAAAATACTTCACAATAATCAACAACAGTATAGAATTTAGACAGGTCTTCTCACTCGACGATGCCTGGTAATACCTGACCTCGTCCTGCGTGGGGGGTGAGTATGTTCCCTCAGAATGTAATCGATACGGGCACAGCAACTTGTCAAGAACCTGTAAAACTTTCCTATTCGCCTCTGCATCCCGGCTTTTCACATCATCGTAAATTTTATCGTATTCAAAATCGACTTCTTCGTAGTCTTTCCTATAAACGTTTAGGTTCAGTTTCGCTGAGTTCTCTGTGTTATCTATGGTTGTGTCTGTGCTTATTTTAAATTTATTATCTATGTTACAGTTTAGGTATTTTAATGATGTTTTCAGTCGTTTGCTTTGGGTTTCGTTGTATAGAGTATGCAGCCAGGACAGGCGGCAGTCACATGTAAGGTTATTACCTGAGAAAGAAACATTAATAGTTAATTAATTATAATTAAATTAGACGGCCTCGGTGATCTATAGGATTAGCACACCGCTTTGTTTCCAATGGCGGTGGATTTGATGCATCGCACGGTGCAAACATTTGTATTCACGAGTGTGACTGTTTGCATCGGTTTGGATGTTTTCTATGTATATTTTTAGAAAAAACAGAAAATATTTCTATCAGTTGTTTAGTATCCGTAACACGTTCTACTTACAATGGGATTAGATGACGCTGTGTGATTATCCACGATTATTATTATTATTCTTCAAACTTCAAATCCCTATCAGCCTACATATCCGAGCATACTCTCCTTTTACTCATATCATCTTTCATACATCCATCTATCTTTTATTGGTAGTCCTCTCTCTTTCTATCCATCCACATTCAACAATATAGCAGTAATCTAACTAACTCTATTGCAATAATACCAACCAATCTAGTACATTGTTAGAACAATAAGCAACCGGCTTCCACTAGTAACACAAAGTCAGTTAAATCACCAACTACAAAGCAGGCCGCCGGTTCTGCGCAAAACATAACTCCTCCACTAAAATATACACGCTATTAAAATGTCGCATGCGGCAGAACATATGTTATATTATTGATTTATTAATCCTTAGTTAATCCATATATAAAGTTTAAAAAAACTTTTTGTATGTATTCATAGGGGTTATTACGTCACACATGTACTTCTTGACGGCCTCGGTGGTGTAACGGTTTAGCATGCCGTCTTACTTCCTATGGTTGCGGGTTTTATTCTCTCCGATCGATCCCCCGTCTAATTCAAACGGGGATCGATATTACGACGGCCTGAGCCAAGATTCGAACCCCTAGCGGTGCCCTCAGACTAAAGTCGTATCCGTCAGGCGATAGTTGGCCTTCAGCCGCTCCGTAAGTCCTTCCGCGGGTTTGGAGTGCCATCTGCACTCGCTCCCAATCGTCCGGTGAAGCTGTAAACGCCAGCTGCGGCCAACAACATTAGAGTAGTCCGAAAAAAAAAGGGTTTTATTCCTTGCACTGTACCATTGGTATTCATGAGTATGATTGGCTGTATCGGTCTGGATGTTCTCTATGTATATTCAGGAAATCGTGTGAAAAGTTTATTTTTATTATTTTAACTAAAGCGCTCTATTCATCAATAGCTATCCCGCAGTTACACAGTTACACAGTTCTAATACTAATGATTAAAGAATATTTTAAATAGATCTATTAGACTTTGAGTTTAATTACACCTACATTTAGGAAATATCACGAGATCTTACCACGTTTTAGTTTTTTTTAATTAGTTCCCGATATTTCGACAATATTGTAACTTCCTTAATCACAGGTAAACTGAAGAGCAGTGGGTAGATGGTAAATAAAATTTGAGGTTATTTGTTACAAAACAAAACGCTGCTCTTCTGATTAACCGTGATTATAGCGGTAAAAACAAACAAATAACATCAAATCTTCTTTACCATCTACCCGCTGTTATTCAGGATAACCGTGATTATGGCGGTAAAACAAATAACCTCAAATTTTATTTACCACAACACAAATATTTTCTCTTTATAATATTAGTGTACATTATAATGGCAAATAAGCTCATACATATATTGTTACAACTTTCCATCAGGTGGTCCGCTCGTATCCCATTCCAGTTCCGTAAAAGAAATCTATAAAAGTATTATTCGTATTTCGCGGGAATAAACTCGCTAGCAATAGGCTGTCAACGTATAAAACATATACCTTTATGATATTAATAATTCACTACGTTTGTAGACCCATTAAATAGAAGGAACGTAAAATACGGAACTCGACGTGGGATATAAAATTTCCTCGAAATACTAAAAGTTCTAACATTTCTGTTAGAACAATAACGTAAATTTTACATCAAAAAACCAGTTTTATCTCCCTCTCTAAATATAAAATAAATAGGCTAAATTAATGTCGAGCCATTAAATTATATCATTTAATATTTATATAGTTTTAAGTATAAAAGTGTAAAATATGTATTTATTAGGTTATGTTATTTTGTTACTAGTAAACTTTTTATGAGGTGGTTTAAAAGTATTTTGTTATTTTATGTGGTCAACCGAAATAGGCGTATATTTGTTCTGTTCTAATACACCAAACAACTTTATGCATCAAACGTTAGTACAATCTTAAGCTGGACTTAAGTGATCAAATTCATATTAGGTATTTGTATTTCTACCTATACTGACGCGGCAAATATTAATACGACAAAATTACATTCATATAGGTATGTTTATTTCAATCAAATTAAAGTAAAAGTTGGAGTCGTGTCGTATCAACAACTAAGAAGACTGATAGAAGATCGTGGAAGGTTGCGGAAGCTCCACCGACAAGAGCACAGCTTAAATTATGAATGAATGAATGTTTATTTCATTTTGTAATTACATATATGTATATATCACTACATCTATTCAATTATTCGTAAATTGAATTGTTGACTTGCAATATATCTACATCATTATGTTATTCTCAAATAAAACTTTTACTGGATGCTAAAGAACTGATATAAATATTTTAAAATAAATATATAATATACATAGAAAATATCTAGACCAATAAAACATTCATACAACTTATGGATACGAATATTTACATTGTTTTAATATCGAATCCCCGATAGTATGAATGTGTGCTATTTCGCTAAACCATCAAGTCATTGTATATCTATACATATAAATAAAATTGGAGTGTCCGTTTGTAATATTGAAATAACCGTTTTTACTACATGCATATGAATATAAATGCGGTACATATACCAAAATAACATTTTTTATCATTTTAGTCTGTCTGTCAGTCTGTTTGTTCCGGCTAATCTCTGAAATGGCTGGACCGATTTTGACGGGATTTTTTTGGTAGGTATCTGAAGTAATAAGGAGTAACTTAGGCTACTGCTACAGCAACAGCTAGTATATATATATATATATATATATATATATATGTTTTTCAATGAAAGAGTATCAAATATCCACGCATCAATTCATCCACACTCAAAAACTTCGATGTTTATAATACTTAGTAAGATTAGTAGAACTACTTTAGGTGGCATATACCTAAAGTAGTTCTACTAATCTTAATACTATCGTAGAAAATATTCATAAAGACGAAAAAACACATAATAAAACTTAAAGCGTACGATATTCAATTTCCAAATTATTAGCACATAAAAATATTAGAGCAGAGCAATCAATAGAACTTAGCGACTTATAAATCCCCAAGTTACTTAGAATGTAAAACAATGAGGACAAAGTATGCGCAAAGTTATAAAACACAACTCACCGTTCAGAGAGATTAAACCGTAATGCGTCTTCATGTTTTCTAAAATCTTCTCAACGACCTCCTTTCGTAGCGTTACTAAGTCATTATTTTTCAAATCCAAAACTGTCAGCTTTTGAACATCACCAAACACGCCATTCTCTAATGTTTTCAATTTATTATCTGGCAAAGAAAGTTTGTTCAACTGACTCAAACCGCTGAAACCGCGCTCCGATATAAATTCTATTTCGTTACCGTCCAGATAAAGTTCCTGCAGATTCCAAAGTTCCGCGAATGCCAAATCACCTATCATTGTTAATTTGTTTTTCCTCATATCCAACGTAATTAGGTTAGATAGGCCTTGGAAGTTCTCTCTAATTACAACAGTCAACAAATTATTGTGCAAGTCCAACTTTATTAGATTGCTAAGGTGTTCAAAGCAACCATCGTGTAGTACATTCAACGTGTTCTTCGATAGATATAAACTTTGTAAATTTGGTAGCATATAGAAAACGTCTTGTTCTATCTCCGATATTTGATTTTCCACCAAACTTATATTCGTCAGCATTAGTAAGTGTGCAAACGCCATCTTTTCCAGTTTCATTATTTTGTCTTTAGGCATGACTATTTCTCTTAATTTCGTTGAATTTTCAAATGCAAACGCAGGTATATTGAAAATATTAGCGTATTGTATATTAAGGTACTTTAAATGTTCAAGTTTAGCTATAACTTTTGTTGGTATGTACGTTAGTCCACCGTCCGCTCGTACATTGAAGACCAGCTTTTCTACATTTGGCTGCGTGTAAAATGTTGACCAGAATGGGTCGTCTACAGCTATGCCTCCATTGAAAACCCAGCAGTCTGCTCTGGTAGCCATTTTTATTTTTATTGTATCGCAATAACAGTGTACTTTAGACCCTCTGTCTTGGATGTCACAAATGTTGACAGGATGCGAAAAACCTCTGTTGTTTTTCCATCTCCTCCTTTCTTCGCCGCGTCTACTTTCTGTTACGTTTATTTTAACGATAGCTGCTATCAGTAATATTAAACATTTGAAATTCATTTTCAGTTGTTATCACAGCTACGCAACATCCATCTGCAACAAAGAAACATTTACTATAAATAAATAATGAATTATAATCCTCATACATGTTACCATTCCTAATATTAACATTCTGCATGTTCATTTTAGGAATAGTAACGTAATTACTTACTTATGTTTTTAGGATTATAGAATGTGAAGCCCTATGGCAACGAAATCAGACTAGAATCATAATCAAAATAATTTGAATTTCCTCTGAAAATAGTGTAAAAGTTCCACTATCCACGTTGTGAATAGAGCTCTCCATACCCATAGCATAGAACAGCACAGTACTGTACAAACTAAAAAATTAAAAATGTTTGAAATTAAACTTTAAAGCTAAAAGTTTAGAGTGGATTTTCCAAAGTTTGTAATTTTTGAGGTTACCAGCATTGCACTAGCTCTGCAATATCCTACAATGTTATTTTTGTTATGGCGAGTAGGACGACTGTTGAGGTTTGGTGTTACTTTATAATATTTTCTTTCTTTCTATGTCATTATTAAAATATCTAATTTTAGGTTTTTAAACAGCCAATTACAATAAATCTTTTTTAATATTAAATTTGTCTATACATTTTTACCGTCCATACACAGTCCATAGTTACTACTACAGTCCACTGTAGAAAATGCACAAACGCAATACTCACACACAATATAAATATATATAAGTATAATAATTTTCAAATTTATGTTTTCACCGTTAATAAAATAAAAAAATATTACATGATTGTGTACTGAACTACGCTGTTTCATTTAAGATTTCAATAAGTATGTAAGTGGTAGATCGCACAGGGTTTCAATAGTAAACAGGAGATCTTGGGTCTAATCAAGTTGGCCACCCCTGCTCTACGACTACCATTCATTGCAAACTTTATAATTCCATAATGAATCATTAATTAAGCATAATAGGCGTTACAGAAGAATGCTGGTGGAACGAAAGGATTATTAGGCAATTGAAACTTCGACACTGTTAGACCTTTCTGTTAAAATTCTTGTCCATTGTGTTATGTTTTAAAGAAGATAAGACTGCCTTTTGTACTCTATTGTTCTGAATTTTGATTTCTCTAATATATTTGATGCAATATCTTATATATAAAATTCTCGTGTCACAGTTTTCGTTCCCGTACTCCTCAGAAACGGCTTGACCGATTCTCATGAACTCTGTCCACTCCTGTCCTAGAGTGTCTTTATTCTCGACTGATTCTGCTTACCACTCGTCCGCACTCTATTCATTCAAATATGTAGGCTAAACATAACGTGGCCATTTATTCTTTATCTCAAAATAGGATAATTGGTTTATTAGGTCACCAGATGTACAATGAAAAATAAACACTTTATTATACATAAAAGGGTTTTTTTTTTCGTTGCATATACAAAAAGCTTTATAAGTGTTTTTTTAAAGGCTTTTGTATCTCAGAAAGTGTTATAAGTCGTTACTATTTAATAACTTGTACTTGAACTCGATATTATCTTATTTGTTAATCGAGAATCAATAGTTTAAACTAAACTGTTACCTGGGGAATATAACTACTAGGGACTGGATGTCCTTCATACAGGTCATTATGACCTAGTAAGGCCACCAGAGACATTGAATGTTGAAACTTATGTAAAGAATACATCAGAAACTCATATAATATTAATACCCCTGGACAATTCACATAACCTAGTGCCAAGGTAAGCAGAGATAGAAATATATATGTATAGGAAACACCCAGACCGATACTAATGATCATATTGATGAATACAAATGTTCGTACCGTTTTAGGAATCGAACCCGCGTCTATCGGAAGTAAAGTGGTGTGCCACGCCGTCTAGTGCTTTAGCACCGAAGTCCGTCATTATATATTGTATTACTTACTCTAAGAAATATAATAATTTACATAAAATAATTATAATCCAATAAATGATGAAAAGGATAAGTATATGATATGAGTGCCGTGCCATTCACACAGCGCCATCTAGTCCCAAGTCAAGCAGAGCTCGTGTTATGGGTACTAGACGACTGTTATAAATACTTAAATACTTTTTTTAGTAAATCTATATACATATATGAACACGTATGGACATGTAATGCGTAGGAATGAAGATCATATCCTAAGGACGATGTTACATACGAATGTGGATGGTTATAAGGGTAGAGGAAGACCGAAAAAGAGATGGATGGACTGTGTGAAAGATGATATGGTAAGAAAGGGAGTAAATCACGGGATGATTGCGAACAGAGACGAATGGAAGAGAAAAACATGTTACGCCGACCCCAAATAAATGGGATAAGGAAAAACCGATATATATATATATATATATGTATAAATACATACAATAACGGTACATCATAGTAAGGTACTAATGTGATCGATATTATATCTTTACATATTATAAAGTTAAGTCGCTATGGATGTGTGTTCGCTTAGATCTTTTAAATTACGCAACGCATCTTATCGCAGTTTTCAGCAATACATAGTAGAGCAAGAGCCCACGACGGCCAGACATACGTCTTATTAATAAACGTGAAAGTTCGTGTATGTGTGTCCCGAACACAGGTAAGAACGATCCCCAAACATGAAACCTGGATCGTGGTTCCTTTGGCAGGTAACAGGTAACAAAGGTGTAAAAATGTTCATATCAAATTCGCTATTTTAAGAAACTCAATTTTTTCACATATTGCTCTTAACAGTATTATAACTTGCTCTGCTCATTGCCAGACACTTAGTATGGTTAATGTTTACTTATATATTTTTCAATTAATGTATTTTCTTTTAGCAAAGACAATGTGAGAGTTGCCTTTCGTGTAAAAAAGTAAATAACAACCAATGACGTAATCATCATCTTGAAACCCCATGTCATCTAAAATAAGCAAAGTAAACACCCCTCGCCCCCCTATAGTCCTTACGTAATACTTGAACAGCCCCATAGAGTGACTCAAGAGGAAGGGTTATATATATAACACATGCACACCCGTGTGAAGTCTGGGCGGTTAACTAGTTTTATATAAAATTAAGGAATGTCCCAAAACCTCGGGCAGAAATTTATTAAAATTATGACAATTATAACCCCCGTATTTTAATTCTTATGAACTAGCCAAATAAAATAATTAGAGGGCACGCGGCCGTCACGAAGAAGGGAGCCGGTTAATATCAATTAGGAAAGTTTAATGACCTCGTGCATTATTATTAAAGTGGCTGGAGTGGTGCCCATGAGGTTATGAGTAAATAAAGAGACAAAGACAATGCGGTAATGTATTCACGTTTGTTTATTCAACACGAAACTGGTAAAAAAATATTGAACGTAATTTCGACGCACGCTATTCGGAACACAGAGGGTTAATCGTAAACAGTAGGTGTACCAAGTTAATATAATAGTTCGAAAGTTAAAATTTTTCGGAACACAGAGGTTTAATCGTATACAATAGGTATACCAAGTTAATATAATAATATTTTTTTTTGTTCCGAAATATTTTAACTTTCGAACTATTGTTCGAAAGTTAAAATATTTCGGAACACAGAGGGTTAATCGTAAACAGTAGGTGTACCAAGTTAATATATCGTCCATAAAAAAACACACTCATGTTTTCAACCATTATTGGGTTTGACGGCCTCGGTGGTCTGGTGATTCAGCACACCGCTTCACATGCAATGATCGCGGGTTCGATTCCTCGCACGGTGCAAACATTTATGAGTATAATTGTTTATATCGGTCTAGGTGTTTTCTATGTACATATATTAAGTATGTATTTATAAAAAGAAATGTAAATATTCATAACAGTTATCTAGTATCGGCTAGCTACACAATCACTGCTTACTGAGGGTCTAGATGGCGCTGTGTTAGTTGTCCAGGGTTATATATTTATTCACAACCTTGACATTCTGTCCTTGACTTCTGTTTCGAATTCATTCATATATAAATTGTATCGATTCATTTTATGCGTAAAGTCGTAACCATAAATAATGAGGCAATTAAAAATAATAGTATACTAGAAGAATTTTCATGTTTTTTTTTACAGATGAGATCATTATCATACTGTTTGACCTTTGAAAATATTCAGGACTACGTTTATATATATAGAAATAAATTAATTAACGTGTCTGTTGGTAATTTCAAATAACCGTTGATAATTCATACAGCGCCATCTAGTCCTAATCTAAGCAGAGCTTGTGTTATGGGTACTAGACAATTGATTACAATATTTTTTTTTGTAAATACGTACGTAATAGAATATATTCAAATTCAAGTAATCATACTCATGAATACAAATGTACCGTGCGCGGAATCGAACCAGCGACCATCGGAAGTTTGGCGGTGTGCTAAACCGCCAGACTACCGAGGCCGTGCGTTGGTACATTTTTATTTTATTTATTACTTACTTATACTTACTTACTGAATTGGTAACAAAAAACAGTTCTTTTATAATGAAATTAACTTGGTGTTTGATTATTATTGTAATATTACAAAGTGAGTAAACAATTTTTAAATATACATAGAAATATTAGAAAAAGATTGAGCCGATTTTGTTATGAGGACAATAACCCCGGAGCTACTGCACCGATTTTCTGAAATATAAATGAAACGTTTATTATTCCAGAGTGACATAGGCTAAACTTTATGTTAACATATATATATGTATATCTCACATTTATATATACATCACATATATATGAGCATCTAGACGAAGCCGGGGTGTACCGCTATTTACGTATATAGGAGCAACGTGGAGGTCGACCTTATAGTATACATTGCTATTATTCATTGCAGTTCCGCTCCTATTGGTCGTAGCGTAATGTTATATAGCTTAGAGCCTTCCCCGACAAATGGACTATCCAACACAAAAAGAATTTTTCAAATCGCACCAGTAGTTCCCGAGATTAGCGCGTTCAAACAAATAAACTCATTTTTATAATATTAGTATAGATAAATAAAATCAAAAATAATTTATTCATGCAGTATAATTACTTATGAACGTCAAGTGTTTTGTGTTAATAATAATTAAAGAGTTATATATAGGAAATTTTATCTAAAAT